GGAGGCCTAGGAATGGGGAAAAAATAAGAACCAAGATGCATTATGTAAAGGTACAATTCCCAATGAGAAATGTAATTGTGTTGTATACCTAAAATGTACCAATAAAAGAATTTCCAAAAAATAAAAAAAGAAAGAATTAACTTGAAACAAGAGACTCCAAAAAATAAAGCAAATTACAAATTACCTTATAAACCTGTCAATACTTTATCAGTTCTAGGGAGGAAAAACATTTACATGGGGCAGGGGAATAGTTTACCTCTGACGTCGCCCCCAGCACAGAAAGCCTTTCCTCCAGCTCCCTTTATAATGATCAGGTAAGTTTCAGGGTCTTGCTCCCATTTCTATCATATAAAAGAAGATGGTACAAGCATATTGTAAATACAAACTCGAGGGAGACATATCCATATGCACAAATACACACACTCACACACATCCATGTGGTACCTATCTACTGCCTTCTAGAAAGCACACACAGAGGAATGGATTCTATTCCTTCCAATCATTCCATTTTCTTTTGTGAGATAAAGTAAAGGCTAGTCTAACAATGCTACTAGATGAGTATATTTTATGATCCAAATTTCATGATATCTGAAATATCTACCATAACTCTGAGACCAAGATGAATAAATCATAGTTTACTCATACTGTTACTTACACTCACAAATCTAGTGAGCAAATCAACCCAAGTGCTGCTGACAAATAGAGCAGTAACCTTTCTACTGTGATATAGGGATTCATTCTATAGAAAAATTTGTAAGTATCAGAATGGAACCACTTAAGATATTGATTAAATATCCAAATGACTTAGGATTGGTTAAGGACAGTTAAGCAGAATGGGGTTGGGGGTGCTCAACAGTAGAGTGCTCATTTTCTTAGCTTGTATGAGGCCCTGGGCTTGATCCCCAACACCACCAAAACATGAAAAAGAAAAAAAAAAAGATAGTTGAAAAAATTAAGAACCAATGAAATTCAAAAGACTAGAACAATGACCCAAATGAAAAATTAGAAAAATTAACAGGGCTTCTATAAATTCAGTACTTAGAGAATAAAAACAAATACACAAAGAAATGTAGCCAGAAAGATGTAACTTTCAAAAGAATGCGATACTAACAATAACAAAAATGTTATTCTAATATTGGAGTTTCTACTTTCTTCTACTCTAGACTAACTCTGATCTGCAGCAGTTGACTTATTTCTATGTCCCACGGTTTAGGACATGCATGTCTAAATGAGTCCCAAACAGAAACACAAGACCGGAAGGGATTTGTCAAGAACTAAGGATCAGAGGTTAGGAGAGGACTGGTATTTATGCAACACCCACAGGGTGGGCCATATGAGGTACTTCCAAATACCACTTCATCTTTACAATCATGCTATCAAAGATCATCATCCTCATTTCACAGCTGAGGAAAGACGGGCATGAGAGATTCACTTTTCCAAATTATGCAGTAAGTTTGAATGTGAGTTTCAAACACAGGTAGTCTGACTTTAAGTCCTACATTTATCTACCATCTATACAATTCACTTAGAAGTTTATGGCCTTCTCTAAGAAAAAGTACGCCTAACACTCTTAAAACAGTTCTCTTCAAGTCGGGCGCAGTGATGCATGCTTGAAATGCCAGCACTCTTGAAGGCAGGAGGAGTTCGAATTCAAGCCCAGCCTGGGCAATTTAGCAAAACACTGTCTCAAAAAAAAATGTAAGGGGTGGGGAGGTAGCTCAGTGTGAAGGCCCTGGGCTCAATTTCCAGCCTGGGGAGGAGAAAAAGGTGTCTTCCAACCAAAAGGCTGCCATGGAAGCAGATCAGATCTGTGCACTCACCTCTAAGAGGCAGAGCCAACACCACGGGTTAAAAGTCAGAAAAAAGTGGCAGAACACAAAAGAAACTTGTGAGACGTCAGCTGTGAAAAAGCAAAAGGGGCAGCAAACTTCCTCTCTCCAAGAGTATTTAAGGGTAACCCCACAGCAAAGCAGAGAACCACAGGGCCTGTGTGAGATCCAGCGCTCTATCTCAATATACTTCACAAGTTTATTTTTCTTGAGATAGGCTTCAATAAGGATCCACACAGATGCGTTCCGAAAATGACCAACCTTTATCTGTAGGTGAATCTGCCGAATCATATGAAGAGTCAGTGTATTGAGGGACCCAGGCCTGTTCAGCGTCAGTACTCCCACACAGCCTTTTCTTCCCAGCAGCACTTCTCCGGCTGCTTCAGTGCGCTTCCATGCTCTCTGTGCAAACAAGGGGAAGAGTCACTGCTCCTGTCACAACCCTACATCAAAACATGCATATCAAATGTGAAGCTTTCATGCTAACAACTAAAGGAATGGGTACCTATGTACATTTGATGAAGCTTTCTAAAGTTAGACTCTGTAGATGGACAAATTCCAAACCGAACTACTACACATTTTCTACTTCTGAGTGAGCTGCATCAACTGATTTAGAATACAGCCCAGTCCTAAAATTTCCTAGACTATGAAATACCCTTAAATCTTTTAATTTATTACTGTATTCCAAGCTCTTTATTAGGTCCTGAGAAAATGAAGATGAATAAAAGAGGGCAAATAATTCTAACTAGGGCAAATAATAATAGCCATGGACAACTTGGAAACACAGGAAGTATCTGGGCTGGGCTTTAATATACAACATGAAAAAGGGAGGTGACAATTGTAGGTGGGAGAAACAACACACACTGAGCCATTGGCGATAAGTATCTGGAAACATTAAGATGTCAAACATGGGCTGGGGATGGAGCTAGTGGTAAAGCACTTGTATGTGCAAAGCCCTGAGTTCAACCCCCAGTACCAAGGTGGGAGCAAGAGGAGTCGGAGAAGGAGTAGTTAAACATGAGCAGAACAAGGGCTGGCTGAAGCATAAGTGATGTGAGGGAAGCAAAATAACCAGTTCCAGACCAGATTTTTAAGTTTTGGATGTGTTGCATAGTTGGTAAAAGGGAAGATCTATAGTCCAAAGCGAAATCAGAGTACATATGACAGCTGGGAAGAAGATGCCCATACACAGACTTAGGGCCTCCACAATGTTTCTTAACCACCATGCCTGACAGTTCATGTGCTACACAGTCCTTACTAATAGGTCACCTATGAGAAAGACGGATTTAACTGAATAGCAATCTCACATGATTCTGTCACAACTATTAGTTCACACAGCACCATTATTCTTAACAACTTCCTTCTTCCGAGGATAATACACTTTAAACTTCACATGGGAACAGACTACAATATAAAATTAGAAGTCAGTTTAAACTGAAAAATTTTAACTACAGTATGGCAATTAAAACTGAACAGCAGACTTAACTAAAATCTGATAAAACACAGAAGTCCATATTTTGACAGCATTAAGGAACATACATACACCATTCAACTTCTTTATAAAATCATGTTGCATAATGTTGAAGTCAATTTTTATTAAAATTCATTATCATAAAAATTATTTATATTCACTTAAAAGGAAAAGGCTTTTTAAAAAAGGAAAGGCTTTTAAACAGGGTTGCATCTTTTCAATTTAATTACAATTTTTCACTAAAGAAATTCAAATCTACTTAAGATTATCACTGTAGTACAATATACTTTTATGCAAATTGACAAAGATCAAAGGGTTTAATATCTTTTGATGTCCAGAGAGGGCATAAACACATACTGTGGAAGCATAAACTATTCTAGAGCCTAGGAGAAACAATCTGACAATACATTTTCAAAAGTACACACCCTGACACAGTAAAGGCTGTTTCATAAATTTAACCTACAGACTAAACTTACTTTGGGCCAAATAAAATACATACAAGGCTGTAAGTGCAATGTCGTTTAAACTATGATCAAATGATGCATGTGAGGGAGCCTTTAAACAGAATGAATAAGCGAGGAATTGGGCCAGATGGGAGGAATAACTGCTGATGCTTCACAGCATGGCAGGGTAACCACAGTTGACAACAACTAGTTATTTCAAACAACTGGTAGGATTTTGACTATTCCCATCACACAAATACAATATGTCTGAGGTGATAAATATGCCAATTATCCAAACCTGATCATTACACATTGTATTAACGTATTGATACACAGCCTTGTACCCCATAAATATGTACAATTACTGTATGTCAGGAAGACCAAGATGAAGCAGCAGCAACCTCTCCATACACCATTACAGAACAGTCTCAGGTGCAGACAACTTATGGCACTATCCTCTGCATACGTGGGCACAAATTTAGAACAGAGTTCTGGGTGGATACCCAGAAATTGCTAAAATGTTTGCTTCCAGAAGGGAAAACCAGACATCTGAGAGATGGGTTGGAGAGCCCTTTTGAATTTTTTGAATTCTTTTTATTTATTCAAAACAAAATTTTAAGTAATTTTTTTAAAGTGACAGAGGGCCAGGGATTTAGCTCAGTGCTTCTGGCGCCTGCTTCACAAGCACAAGGTCCCGAGTTCAATCTCCGATACCAAAATAAGTAAATAAAGTGACAGATTAGGCTTATAACATACTAAGCTATATGACTAGGAAACTGTATCTTTAGTGTTCTCATCCTATTGGTACTGAAGAACTTGTAGTGAAATAAAACTACAAAAATCACAAAAGAAACCAGACCTCCAAATGCCTAATTTTATTTTCTATAATGCTGATTAAATACTTAAGTTTACCGACTATCTAAAGGAGAACCAATCTAAATGTGATTTAATCCAACATACAAAGAACTGCACAACTGCAGTGGTGACATACTTGAAAATATTTTTTAAAACTTTAAAATTAACCTGTTTACAAGGGAAGGCATAAAATGGAAAGTTACTTAGTAAAATGTAAGAATCTTCAAAATGTTTGTGCCTTTGAAAAAATACTTTGAGATTTATCCTCAAGAAATAAGCCAAAATCTAGTAAAATATTTATAATAGATTATAGTATGTTAAAAAAGAGTGGTGAGATACACAAACTGTAAAGTGATTTTCCGTAGAAAGAACACCTTTGTGATTTTCTATATTTCTCAAATTTCTACCATAAGCATAACAATATTGGATTACTTAAAGGCCTCTTTTTAAAAAGTATGTTTTGAGGGATGGGGATTTAGCTCAGTGGTTTCGCCACCTGCTGCGCAAGTGCAAGGACCCGAGTTCGATCCCCGGTACCAAAAAAAAAAAAAAAAAAAGTATGTTTTGTGCTGGAGATGCTGTTCATCAGTGGGGCACTTGCCTAGAAGGGCCTGGATTTAATCCTCCTCCCCATACACAAAAATTGTATTTATATATATGTGTATATATACATGAAATACACACAAAATATATGTGTGCACAATTATCCATGATATCCAAAACATAAGTGGGCTGTGGTGGCCCATGCCTATAATCCCAGCACTCTGGAAGGCTGAGGCAGGAGGACAAGTTCAAGCCCAGCCTGAGTAACTCAGTGATTGCAAATTTCTCAAATTTTTAAAAAGGGGATGGGAATGTAGCTCAGTATAAAGGCACTGGATTCAACTGCCAGTACTGAAAATAAAATTTTTTTTTTTTTACTGCTGTTATATGGAAGGGAAAAATGCCCAGTGATGAAATTAGTTGGGAAAAACTCAAACCAATATAAACAAGTTATATTCCTGTAAGATTTTTTCAGTCTTTAATATGCAAATATACAATACAAACTTTTAAAATACAATAGGCAACATTTCTTACTGATCAAAGAAGTTTTTCTCATGTGTATCTCTTGAGACTTGTACTTTACAGACCATATGTTGGGAAACGTATCTTCAACCCTGTAAACATTCCCTTTGCTAAAAACCCAGTGCCTGGTACAAAGTGAGTGTCCCCAAAATGTGTAACCCATTGAATAAGTAATCCATCATTCCATGATGTGGTCCTGCTGTGACATGAGTTTGGGACAAGTCACTCCCTGTGGATACCTAAGTACTGATCCCAAACACACATTGTTCACTACATGCAGCACTCACAGCCACTGAATGGGCAGCTCAAAGACACACCCAGATGTTTTTGATATGCTATGCTTCCTTCATCTTTACCAGTCTATTCTTTCTGCCCCTCAATCTTCATAAATTTCCAGCCAATACCAAAGAATGACATTAAATTTAAATTACAACATAAATAGGAACATAAGAGCACAAGACAATTCTCAGCATCTAAAAAAGCATGTAATAAACACTGATTATATGACCCTCAAGCAAGCCTTCCCAACTTCAAACTCTGTCGGTAAAATACCCCACTTGACAGTAATTTAACACCCACACTGTCCTTAGCTGTGCATTACTCTCTCAACTTCTGTGATGCCATCTATTCTGCAGCTGAGATGCATGCTTAGTCTAAGCAGCTGGCTCAAACCTACTTCTCCAGAGCCTTGGCTCTTATTCCAGCGACCAGGACAGGAGTAGCTGCAGGGCCCAGCCCCAGACACTCAGGAATGTCTCTCACCTTCAGCACCAAAGGTGCTCTCCACCAACCGTGTCTCTCCTGTTCCTCATAGCAGGTAAAAGTGTGGCGACTTTCTCAGTCACCCAGGCTCAAAATGTTGGTCATCTTTGATTCTTACTTGTTCTCTATCCATCTCTGCTAGCAACCTGAGGCAGTTACTAAGGACCACAGACTCTCTCTTGTCTTATGCTGGGGATTTAGCTCAGTGGTTCCACCACCTGCCTTGCAAGTGCAAGGGCCTGAGTTTGATCCCTGGTACCAAAAAAAAAAAAAAAAAAGACTCTTGTCTATAATTATTTCCATTCCCATTGCCTTATCCACATAGCACCAGTATTACAGTCAGCTCTGCAGCACACTTGCAGAATCTCTGCCCACAGTCTATCCTTCAGAGACCATTGAGGAAAGACTGCAAAGCACAATCCTGATGTCATTCCATTCAAAAATGTTAAGTCCCCATTCAGTTTAAAAACATCTAAGTTACTAGACATGGGCTTCAGCTCTCTCTACAATCTGATTATATGGAAGAAATGAGCTTTTCCACATTAAGAGTTTAAAATACATTACAGAGGAGGGAAAAAAAGAGCTTTCCATGAATATTTTTGTAGTACTACTGTTATAGGAGATGAAATAGGACCTCCAAATGATATAAGGAAAATATTGTAACTCCCAACCTGTTAGATGTCTGACATGTCGAGTTCATGTTCTCTAAAACTGAAGAATGGATTCTAGGAACAATGGAGGTTAACAGTAGGGGATATTTATTGAGAGGATAGCTCCTGAGAGGCAGGAGAGGTCCCCAGTGGGTAACCAGGGATCCTGCTTTACAGCGAAGTTTTCCAGAGCAAAACCCACATGGGTACAACGTGGGTCACAGCAATGATTAACCAATAAGGTTACAAGTACAGTCATTTAGGTAACAGCGATCCAACAGGGCAGCAAGTTGTGTAACAAGAGCACATGGAAAGGACAAAGAACTTCTCAGGAAGGTGATGGATCTGGGGGTCTTGGTCACCCACTGAGGTGACTGATGGCGACGTAGACTTTACCAGAGGAAGAGTTATCACTTATCCCTTGGGGAAGTGTGCAGGCCTGGTCCTTTAGTCATTATCTTGAGGCCCAGCCTCTAACTGATGTCTCTGGCCACAGTTGTGTGTTTTTACCTTTTTTCTAGACTCTCTTGTAGGCTCAGCCCTGTCTGACTGCCTATTACATTTTTATCTAACTTAGCTGTCCATGTCCAAATCAGCCTGGTGAGCCACACTATTTTAGACATGTTGGAACAGGGTGACACTGCAGTCCAGATCAGGTGGGGACTGTGGTGACATGGGCCAGAAGGCACTTGAGGGAAGGAGACAAACTGGACTCTCTTGAAGTCCTGAGGGCTAAGTGGTTCTGGGTTTGCTCTGACAGGAGCCTGAGGGAAAGAAAGACACACACGAGGCCTCGCTAGCAGGATCCGCTGACTGCCTGGCTACAGGAGCTGACTGGCCCCTGCAGAAGTGCAGAGCCTTAGCCTCCCTCTGGAGTTCTGTTCCCTACTTTCATATTGGAAGGGGCACCAGGAATGTCATACACTATTTTCACAAATGAGCCCCGTCTCAAAGTCACTAGTACTCAGCCTGAGCTTAAACTTGTGATCCTCCTTACCCCTGTGTCCCAGAGTGAGGGGATTTCACATGTGCACCGCCATGCCTAGCTAACTTGTTATGTTTATGTGCAAGGTACTTGTCAAGATCTACAAGGGATATAAAATTGAATAAAAATTATTTCTTTCTTGCAATCTGATAAACTAAAGCTATTTAAGCTTTGTGGTTACCATTAGCACAATTACTAACATAAAATTATGTATATATCACACAATATGCTAACCTTCTCATAGAGCAATACAAGGCAGATACATCTTCCTCATTTTATATACATAAGAATAAGTAGTGAGCCTATTATTTAAACCTGGGCATTAAGACTTCCCCATGCTTTTCACCATAATCCCATGCCACCCTCTCCAAGACTTGGTGCCAGGGCTTCACACCACAAAATGAGAGCAATGATGGACCAGGGTCAAGGAAACCTGCCTTCCCAGTGTTTCTCCCTTTCCTAACAAAGGCATTTAAAAGTACACATAAAACTAATAAGGTCAGCAAAACAAAGTTCAAACTTACCAAATGTTGCAGAATAATGTTGGTTCTTTTGAATGAACTAAATCTGAAACAAATGCAGAATACAGTGAACACAGTGATTTGGGTGATTATGTCTCAGCTCACAAATACTGTATTCTCCTTTTGCTTAAATCTTTTAAAAGTTACTAGAATAAAAAAACTAAAGACCTAATCGCATTCATTATTGATAGGTACAACAATGAAACAACACAGCCATCTTAAAAGAGTTTGCAGTTTCTTACAAAACCCAACACAATCCAGCAATCCCACTCCTAGACTTTAACAAATAAATTAAAAAGTTACATCAAAAAAATCTGCACATGGGCCGGGGATTTAGCTCAGTGGTTCTGCCGCCTGCCTCCCAAGTACAAGGACCTGCGTTAGATCCCCGGTACCAAAAAAAAAAAACCTGCACATGAATTTTATGTTTGCTTCATTCATAACTGCCAAAATGTAGAAGTAATCAAGATGTCCCTCAATGGGTAAAGGACAAACCAACCTTGGTATATCCACTGGACAGCTGTAAAAAGAAGTGAGTTGTCAGACCACAAAAAGACACTTCAGGGAAAACTTCAGTGCCACTGCTAAGCACAGAAGTCAACGGAAAAGACCACTCCGCACACAACATGCTGGGAAAGGCAAAACTAGGAGCCAACAAAGACTGGTAGAGTGGCCAGAGGTTTGGGAGGAAAGTATGAATCTGTGGTAGAGATGAAGATGGCGCAGAGTAGTAAAGCTAATCTATATGACACTGTTATCACGTATGCGGCATTATACATTTGTCAAAAGTTTTCTGCTCAAATTTTTAGCTCAACTTTTCTGTATACTTAAAAATGCTCTAAAAATTTTTCAATGAATTTTTAAAGTTAGGTAAGGATGTGATAAAACCAGCATTTTTAGACATGCTGTGAGATGTATGAGGTGGCACTGCCTTTCCAGTAAGCAGTATGGAAATATACATCCACAACCTTTAAAATTTTGTGCCCTTTCACAAGTGAATTAGAAACACTACCTGGCTACTTGGCATTTTGCCATCCACTCATATTCCAAGGCTGAGGCCACTAGACATCATTTAAAATGAAATACTAATTTATATTACATGGGTATCTATCATCAGTTGCCTCTCAGTTCTTGAGGTATATTTTTTATTCATCCCATGCATTAGCATGCTTACAAGACAAGAATATCATTAGATAGATGAACACTTAAAGGCTTCCAGTTTGTACAGGGAGAAATCAGTAAGAATTAGGCTGTGGTAGCCAAAAACCACAGTTAGCTAAAAGACCATGATAAAATACAATTATTTAAATAAGTCATGGTTAATAACAAATGAAACAAAACTAGTCTAACAGATTTGCCATCAACAGTTATGTGCAAAAGCGCTGTATATGCTGTCTTACACACCACTGCATTTCCTAGAACTAAAGATTGCACATATAATTTTAAAACTCAGTTGATTTTTCACTCTCTTGAGGAGTACAAAGTGTGAAAGCAGGCAGTCCTTACAGCTTTGCTTACAACCAGCTAAAAATGCTTCAAATATTATCCTAACCTACTGTTCTCTACATTCCACTGCTCTAACTGTACTGTTTTCTGATTTGTATTTAGGTCTTGAGACAGTAATTTTTTGAACAAAAATAAATCTAGAATAAAAAATAAGTAAAATAAAAATTTGAAAATTCCCCATGTATCTGCAAAGTTTGACTTATAAAGATGTTCATAACAATTATTTACATGAAGGAGAAACTGGAAAAAAGTAAACAGAGCTATATACATAATTATATAGTTACATGGCCACTGATTCTTATTTTGAAATATTTAAAAGCTCATGGTGGGCCAAGGATTTAGCTCACTGGTTCAGTGGTTCCAGTGCCTGCCTCGCAAGCACAAGGTCCCGAGTTCGATCCCCGGTACCAAAAAAAAACAACTCAGGGAAAGGTTATAACAAAATTACAAAAAGAAAGCAAGCTATGAAACAAAACATTTCTAATGCTGTTGTTTTTGCTAAACTAGGAATGCACAGCAGTAACAGCCATCAGCACGGCAGCAGGTAGGGGGAGCTGGCAAGGCGCTGGAAGAAAGAGGTGGTGTTGAAGACCATGCAGATGCCTGACACAGGCCCACAACACGTGTAAATGCCCAAGACACCATCAGCTTCACAGCAGCAAATAAATTCCCATTAAACCAACCAAAAACCATACCGGGGAAGGATAGTGACAGGAAGGGCTGAGCCAGCCTCTAAGATGCTGGCGTTATCTTGCTTCCTGCATCAAATGCCAGTAAATCCGGATGTTTGGTTTGCAAAAATTCATCAAATTGTATCTTTATGCCACAGAACTTTTTGAAAGTTCACAGAAAGATACAGCTCTTACCCTTGGGAAACTAACTGTAGTGACAATGCATATAAAAACACTGTTGCCAGAAATATACTGGGATGCTTGTTTCTTGTTTTAAAAGCTATATTTAAGACAGAGAGAGAGAAATCACAGCTGCAGTCAGTAGCCACAGCAGCCTGATAAGGCTTGTGTGTACCCAAAGACACACACACTGTATGAATAATGGCCAGTCTGTTCATTTCAAGGACACTTTGACATTATCTGAGGAGCAACAGTCTAGCCAAGGGTTAAAAAAAGGCAGTATGACCGTTATTACCACTTGTAGCCACACTTTAGATGACCGACTATACGGAAATATTTGTAATCCAGTTGGGGATTTAGCTCAGTGGTTTCGCCACCTGCTGCACAAGCTCAAGAACCTGAGTTCGATCCCCAGTACCAAAAAAAAAAAAAAAAGAAATATTTGTAATCCAGACAGGCACAGTGGTACACTCATGTAATCTGAACACTCTGGCAGGCTGAAGCAGGAGGAACCCAATTTCAAGCCCAGTCTGGGCAATTCAGCAACTTAGGGAGACCTTGTCACAAAAAATTTAAAAAGGATGAGGATGTACCTCAATGTGAAGGCCCTGGGTTCAATCCCTAATATAGCAAACAAATAATAATCCTCTGATTTCAGAATCATTACTTTTAATTATATTCAAACTGAGTAGCACAACAATAAAGGTTGTAATCACCTACTTAAATCAGTCACACTTCACATTCCTGCACCAGGATACATTGAATCCACCTTACCACAAATGAAATATCCCTCTAGGCAAGAATAAACAAAACTTAAGAAATTAGAGCATGAAAATTCTAAGCATGAGCACACTAGAATGGACGGGCAGGTTGGGGAGAAAGTCACACTTAGATACTGGAATAGTGAGTGACTGTAACCTGCTGGCTCCTAATTTCTTTCATTGATAGACGTTATCTATAAGTCTGATACTTTGTCATAAATCTCTCTAGTTTTAGCTGGAAGAGACAATTTGATGAACAAATTTCACTAAGAAATATAAAACTCTAGCTGAGCTCTTATAGATTCTACCTTAGTTTTTCCTAATCCATAATCATGGTCAGCTACTAGTAGAGCTGGAAACTGCCAGAAGGGGTCAGTGACTGGAGCCCCTTTTTATTATATCTACCTTTATTACTATGGCATTATTTTATACCTCTTTTGGTTATTCTTTTCTACTGGGTATTTAAGACCAAACTCCAAGCAGTCATGCAAATGGAACCAATGACAAATGTGCTAGAATTCTTTTACTAGGATTCAGCAGATTGACCTGGTAAACAGCTCATAACAGGGCCAGGGGTTTAGCTCAGTGGTTCTGCCACCGGCCTTGCAAGTGCAAGGACCCAAGTTCGATCCCTGGTACCAAAACAAAACAAAAAAACCCAGCTCATAACTGCTAAACTATACGACTTCTATGGTGGATTCTGAAGTCCCCTGGACCTTCTCTTTATGGGAGGCTATTACTAGTTCTTCCCAGTGGAAACCCTTGTTGGCTATATTCATAGCAATCCTGCTGATCTTATAATTTGGCCCATGTATTCTTAACTGTTTCTTTGGCTTTTCCAGACTCAAAGTGATACAGGTACCAAGGTGACAATCCCTGGCGCCTATCGAAGGCCTTTAGATAGACTCTGTAGAGTAACTCTAACTTCTGATCAAAACGACCTTCTTCAGCTTCAAGTACCCAGACTGGTCTTCGCCCTGTGCCCCTCACAGCAGTTAGGCGTACTTTTTCAGAGGGGATAATATTGCAGATAGGTAAGTTAATTATATATCTTGTGTGCAGTTAAGACAGGGCCAGCCCAGGAGGAGCCAACATGGAGGACAGTGAAGACACAGTTACTGAAGCCCAGCACTGTAAAAGGAGAGAAACCACCACACCCATTAGGATGAATAGCAGTGATTAATATTCTAAATAGGTATCAATCCCGGGGGGGGGGGGGGGGGAGGACCAAGGTCTTAACCCAGCCTCTCCAGGAAGTATCCCTGACCCACCCTTACTGAAAATCCTTGTATGCTTGCTACGTGACTTGCTGCCTCGATTTGATCCCCGTTTAATCACTATTACCTGGGTAACTGTACTTGTAATCTTATTGGTCGGTCATGGTTTTGTCCCACCTCGAGCCTACCTTGTAAATTTCCATCAAGTCTTATAGTTTTGTCCCACTTTGTACCCGCATCACCACATGGCATGGCTGTATAAAACATCTTTGAAAAGTGGGGTGGGCGGACAACCCAATTTCTGGTCCCCCTTCTGTCTTAGAAGCTTTCTTTCTCTCAATAAATTTTTCCTACTCTTAATAAAAAAAAGAAATATCCCTATCTCAGGCCAGGGGGTCCGCAGTTTGTCTGCGCTTAGAATCACCTAATGATAACCGGGTTTACAGGACACGGACTCCTGTAACATCGAAGACCAGTTAAATCATAAACGCTAGAGGTGGCACACAGGCAAAGGTACTTGAAGTTCTACCAAATGGCTGCAAGGTCATTAAAGCCAATATTTGATAATGAAAAAATTGATGTGACAGATACTAGCTTAGGAGTATTTTCTAATTAGGATTTTCTAGACTTTTGATATCTGAACTACACTTACCCTAACAGTAAGTTTTTTGTTCAACTTGAGTCAATTTTATCTTTTTCAAAGTTGTAGATAACAAAACAGTGAATGCTGCATGTACCTAAGTATGCTTGGGGGTAGGGAGAATGGGATTAATTGATAATCTGATTTGACTCGGAGGAAGTTAACATAACTACCAAATCTGAGGGCGCCACACTGTGCACAACTCATAGCTCACAAAATTTCTTGGACCAATTATGACCAAAAAACAAAGTACAGCTTAAGACCCTTGCCGAACTCTACACAATCAGACTGCTTTCATTTAGTCCAACTCATGCTCAACTGTTTTTAAAATCTGGTATTAACTTTAAATCTCAAAACATGCTCTTGAGAATTCAGAGTTCCCAGTTACTGTAATTCCGGAGTTCTAGTCTTTTCTTTCCGGTGGCCCCAACACTGCCACCTGGTGGAGTGGAAGAGAGCTTGCTAACTTCTCAATTCACTTCTCCAGGATTATTTCACCTCCTGGGTGATTCTTGGAGCTCCACCCACCACCGCCCACCCCCGGGACTTGTTAGAAGAGCAAACCACCTGCACTGCCAAGAAACCGTGCGGGCTGGACCTAGAAATCCGTTTAACAAATTCTCCAGGTGATTACAATGCACAACTGAGAAACTCAGATGGACATAACCAGCACCAGAGCTCGGGAAAAACCAGGTCTCTCAGACTTCAGAGAGGTGATCTGGAAACAAAGGCTGTCTGCGGGTTGAACCAACACGGGGACAAGATAAATACTGAAGAGTGAAGCAAGAACATGAGAGGTACGAGGTACTAAGAGAAGCCACAAGAGTCCAGAGTTCACAGGCACAGGCCCTTCCTCCCCTCCGAAGCACGCCGGGGCACCCTCACCCTTCTGTACTCGGGCACTGGGCCACTGCAGATGAGCTTGGCCTTTGGTCTTCCTTTTGCTTAGGGCTGGATCTGATCCAAACCCCAAGCCGGTTCCAGGCTCACCCGGTCGGTCTGCATCTTGACATACGGGATGGAATAAAACCAGGCTGTCGGTTTTTGCATGTCATTTGTTATTGTTGTTTTTTGTTTCGTGGTACTGGGGATGGAATCCTGGGCCTTTGCACTGAGCTACATTCCCAGTCCTTTTTGAGACAAGGTCTTGCTAAACTCCCCAGACGGAACTCAAACTGTGGTTCTCCTGCCTCAGCCTCCCTCAGTGCTGGGATTATAGGCAAGAGCCACCAACGTAGCTAATTTTAACGTCTTACCAGTTGTTTATCAAAAAAATTGGTAATAAGTGTATAACATCTCAGAGTCAGGTCAGCGTATACAATGTTAGACAACTGGACACTTTCCTCCCTTCTCGGAAACAGTAACTATTCCTAAAAAAACGCCCCCCCCCACCTTGTGGGGCGACCCCTAAAACAAACTAAGGCCTAGGAGGAAGGAGGGTTTCCCTGGCAGGGCGCCCGGCCGTAGTACTGTCAGGGACAGGGCTGGACAGGCTTCCAGGCCGCCGCCAGGTGTCCTCGGCGATCAGAGCACTGTCACACGTCCTCATGGGGCTGAAAAGGAGGCACCTGTGTTTTCGCTATGGGGGTTTTGTTTGTCCTGAGTCAGGGTCTTGCTTTGCAGCCCAGGCTGGCCTCGAACTCGTGCCGATTCTCCTGCCTCCACCTCCCGAGTGCTGGGGTTTAGACCCTGGATAAACCCAGAGAGCCAAGTCACCACGAGCGCACGTGCGACACCCAGCAGAGCTGGAGAGCGAGCTGGCAGAACAGGTCCCGGGCTGTCCCCGAACCTAGCCCGGGCTGTCGGAAAGGACAGAGTCGGGTCGCAAGGAAAGCGCAGGGCCCGGGCCGCAAGGGCGCGGGGCGCGGGCCAGAAGTCGCCACCAGCCCTTCCCACGGGCCCGGCCGCCCCCTAGCTCACCTGGACGCCAGACTCAGCACGCCCTGCGACACCATGGCGCCGCGGACCACTCTCAGCAGCTGAGGCGGCCGTCGCGACCCACGTCAGGCCCGCCCACCGCGGCACGCGCAGGCCGCCGGACACCGAGAACAAGTCCTCCCGGAGGCCAGAGCGGCCCACGCCGGCTTTTCGCCAAGCGGAGCGGAGAGGCGGGGCCCGAATGGGGGCGGGACTACATGATGGGCGGGGCCACGGGCGAGGGCGGGGCCACAGCCAAGGCCTGGAGAGAGAGTTGACAGTTGACGGAAGGAAGAAGGAGCAGTTTTAGATTAGCCGGAAAGATAGATTGCCCCCTAGAGGCTACTTTGGGAAAAAAACCATTGGCCTGACCCGGCCCACTAATTTGTTTTTAAATTTTTATCTTTATTAGAACACGTTTGCAGTACATAATGACTGATTACATTCATCGTGGAGAGTAGGTACATGTATATAACCAATTCTTTTACTTCCCTGAGGCCTGTTAATTTGATCACAGTACAGATATGAAAACATTTCTAGAACTTTAATTTTTTAAAATATAAATAATATTTTTTGAGAATCAAACAGACAAAATACACTTGGTAACAGGGAGCTATCAATGTAATTTACTACCCCGATATAGCCAAACTCTGTTCACATTTTAATTGGGGTACTTCCCATTTTATTGGGAAGTTACAAATCCCCATCTTCCTCACAGACAGACAAGAATATCTGATTAAGAGGTGATAGATGTGTCTTCACCAACTAAACTAAAAGTGACTGTTACCTGCAAAAGCATAATTACATTCAGAAAGTAGCTTATTCTTAAAGGAAGCAAAGATTTAACTAAACCGCTAGGATTTGCTATGGAGTTGTTTCCAGATCCACCCAGGTGTCTGGCAGCAAATTTTCATCACCAATTAAGTATTGATATGTTTGGTAGAAATAAGGAATTTGGCCGGGGATCTAGCTCAGTGGTTCTGCCGCCTCCCTCACAAGCACAAGGACCCGAGTTCAATCCCCAGTACCGCCCCCCCCAAAGTAAGGAATTCAATGAAGGGTTTCAGAGACCCAGAAGTTAAAGGAGTTTTTGTTTGGGAGAGTTGTTGTTGGGGGGGAGGGGTTCTTGTTTTTTATTTTTGTGTTCCAGGGGATCAAACCACAGCCTCTCACATGCTAGGCAAGCATCTTGCACCCCACAATCCTATAGGAATTACTATTGGCTCCTTGATATTCAAAGAGTTACACTACCAAAACTTTGATCAAAGGGCAGAGGATTTAGCTCAGTGGTTTCACCTGCCTCACAAATGCAAGGTCCCGAGTTCGATCCCTGGTACCAAAAACAAAAACAAAAACAAAAAACCTTTGATCAAAAATTGCCTTTCTATCCTAGGCCACACATAATAAGGAAATGCCCACTGAACAGAGGGAAGTCACGACACCAGACCTGCGGTCAGTCCTGAACCAGCTGCAGTTGGACCTCATTGTGTCTCATGGTTTCCTGAGAAGAGCCCAGGGTTTCTTGTCACAGCCTGAGATTCCAGTCTTCCTCATCTGCCTAGCTTCATTGCAAACCACCTGTGTCTCATAAGCTTCCTTACTCAGAAGGGCCTCGTGCTTGGTTTTACTGTTCTGCTCTTAGTAATTTTGGAACAAGGTATCCCACATTTTCATTTTTCACTAGGCTTACAAGTTATATGACCAATCCCACCCCCAGCATCACCATCCATTTTAGAATCATTATTCCATGAAGAAACCCTGTCACTCTGAGCTGTCGCCCTCCATTCCTCCTGCTTCCTCTCCGACCCTAGGCGAGCCCTGATCTACTTCCTGTCTCCATATATTTGCTAAACATTCATAGAAGTGGAGTCATATAACGTAATCTCTGTGAGCAGCTTCTTTCCAAGATTCATTCGTGCTGAACTGTGCCTCAGTACTTCAGCACCTTTCCTTTGTCATATGAATATGTAACTTTTGCACCTTTTCATTGGCTGTTGGACGTTTTGGATTGCTCCCACTTTTTAGCTATTATGAATAGTGCTGTGCAACATCCAAAAACAAGTTTTTATGTGGACTATGTTTTTATTTCCATATACCTAGGAGCAGTGTTGTTGGGTTGTATGGTAACTGTATGATTAACCATTTCAGCAAGTGTGCTAGGGTCAGGACTTATTATATTTCATTGTATCCTTTAAATGGGTGGACTGTATATATGTAAATTATATCTGAATTAATAAAAAAATCATTTTGGTTGCTCCATATCCTCAATATTTTGTGTTATTGGGCTTTTTAATTTTAGTCGTGTGTGTGTGTGTATTGTTATTTCATTATGCCTTTAATTTTCATTTCCCTGGTGTCTATGATGTTGAGCACTTTTTGAAATGCTTATTATCTTCTTTTTAAAGTACCTGTTTGATTTCTTGTCTATTTCTAAATTGGGCTATTTGATTGTTATTTGATACTGTAATTGTCTATTGCTGTTTTAAATTGCCCCCAAATTTAGAGGTGAAAACAGTAGCCACTGATTACTTCTCAGAGATTCTGAGGCTCAGGAATCAGGGTGAAGCTGAGTCAGGTGGTTCTGGCTGAGGGCCTCTCATGGGGCTGCAGTATTGGCTGGGATTTCAGTCATCTGAATGCCCCCAGGCCAGAAGGCAGCACTTCCAAACCCCTGTGGTTGTTGGAGGCTTCAAGTCATTGCCACCAGGACCTTTTCCATAACGCTGTTCATCAAGTAGCAGCTTGCTTTCTCCACGGCAAGAGACCCTAGAGAGAACCATGGAGGCAGAAGCCGTCGTATCTTTCACAGCCCAGTCTTACAGAGGACAAACCCTCACCACCACTTATCCTGCTGGTCACACAAGCCAGCCCAGGGCAGTACGGGATGGGAAGAATACGGCCAGGTGGGTCCCCCAGGGTTGTTTGAGGCTGGCTGCCACAGTGGATTTTTTCTCCTCTCATTGCCAATCAGTTATCAAAACCACAGCAATTTGTTCTCTGAAAGACTCTCAGGTTTGCCCCACCCTCTCACCTTCCCATTGCTGCCATTTGAGTCCACTTCTGACTTGCTCCAGGTCTACCTCCCCTCTCCAACCTCAGCCATTGCTCCCTCCAACTCATCCTGCACCTTACAGACAACAAATCTTCCAGAGCTGCCACTTTCTATTGATTATTCAGCTGCTAAGTCACCTCATGACTATCCATGGCTACGTTGACACCCGACACGAGAGGCTACTGAGCTATTAAAATGTAGCTAGTATACCTGATGAATTCCTAACATTTAAATTGAAAGGCTAAAGAAGTGTTAAAGTTTTATATGTATTACATGTTAGAGTGATAATATTTTGGGTATATATTAGTAAAAATATATTAAAATAAACCACCTATTTCATGTCCCTTTTACATGTGGCTACTAGGAAACTCAGTTACACTTGTGGCCTACATTAGGTCTGTGTTAGTGCCAGTCTATAGCATTCAGTTCAAACTGACTGACTTTTGAAGAAACAGAAACAACTCAATTCACTCTATAGCTGTCCAGTCTTATTTTCTGTCCACTTGCTCTTTTTTCTGTCACACAGGTCTCTCCTGGGTGTCTTGAGCACAAAACATTGCTTTCCCCCCTCTGTTTTCTTTTTTTGTTTGTTTTTGTGGGTACCGGGTATTGAACTCGGGTCTGCTGTACTTGTGAGGCAGGAGCCGGAACCACTGAGCTAAATCCACAGCTGCATTCTCCTTCTATGTTTTAGCTCTTGTATTTCCCACACCACAAAACCTGTTCCCTTTTATCCTTTTCTAAAATCTTTATCTTGAAGGCTTCGCTTCAGTGGAATTTTCCTGCAATGGTCTTTAACCTATATTCAATTCTTCTTTCCTGACTTTGAGTTACACTTCCAATCAGTAACATAGTTCATTGTTTATTTCTTGCCTAACTTACTGCTGAGTGCTAATTTTCTGTCTCAAATTGTACTTTGAGGATAGGGACTCTAGCAGATGTTATCTCTGAATATTTCAAAAAGCAGTCCTGAGTAGGCTGTGGTGGCATCTACTTGGGAGCCTGGGGCAGGAGAATCACAGCTTGAAGCCAGCCAGGGAAACTTAGCCAGGACATGGTAAGCAGGCTTATAGATTTGACACACCGATTACCTGATCATGAAGGCGACTTTGTGTACACTAAGTCTTATATTTTAATTAAGGTAAACTTGGCCTTGGTGTGGAAAAATAAGGTGGCAAAAGTTGTCAGAACATAACTGCTCTTTGAATTAAGTACCCACAATCCGGAAGCCTTCACCAGAGCTGAATAACTGAAAAGGATTCCCTCCTACTGTCCTTTGAAGTCAATGATTGGCAGCCAATAGAGGTCTCTGGAGAGCCCAAAAGTGACCATAGTTGAACTCAGGATCCTCAACACCCAGCCCTGCCCCATTCCTCAACCTGCCCAGCCAGTGGAGAAAGCCAGGCCCAGGAATGAGATGTTCACTCTGACTGTTTCAATAGCCCACTTCGGGGGAAGCTTGGGGACCCTCCCTTTTTCTAGCTGTAACCTGCCTGTGGCTGTCTAGCCTGGTCTGCTCTGCCATGCTTCTGTGCTCATGAGTTGAGAAGAAAGACTCCAGGTTCAGTTTTTACCCTTTGCCTTCACACCTCTTAGAATGGTGTTAAAAATCTGACTATGTACCTTCCTGTCCACACATAATTTCCCAAATTTTGCAAAGCGGCCTTTGGTGGGTAAAGTGTTTTTGATGCCAGTGTTCTTTGCCAAGCTGTAGAGTAAGTCAATGGTGTCACTGGTCCTTACCTCAAAGCACTGAGCACGGTGGCCTCTCTGCATCTCTTAGCCTGAGGATGCACAAAATGTAGGCCACCTGCTGAAAGTTCCAGATGTCTTCAAACAAGAACAATTAGAGGCCAGGAGATAGGGCACTGCTCAGCTATTACAGACAAGAAGTGTAGAAAACACCTGACTCAGTGGCTCAGATGGTGAAGTCGACCTCAACTTACTGATCCCGAGAGGGTACGGACTCCCTCTCTTACATGTCACAAGACAAGCTTTGTAGAATACCGTGGTGCCTGTGACCCGACAGTACTTCTCTGCTGTTTTGTCTCTTAGGCTACGGGCTTTACGGACCCCAAGGTTTTAGCAGTACCTGGGGTTGAGTAATGAAATCTAGACCCTTTCCCT